GGACGAGGCGGCAGAGGCAGCCGCAGCAGGGCGAGCGCCAATGGGACGGGCGACCATGCCGGCTGGCGGCCTTGCTACTGGTCTAGGTGCTTGGTTCTCCTTGCCGTCTGCCATGGAAGCTGCAGCGCTGGGTGGTTTGGCGCGGACGACGGCAGCAGGGGCTGCACGATTGGATGCTGCTGGAGCTGGGGCGGCCGCAGCGGGTGGCCTCCTTGCACCTGCGCCGGCAGCCGCTGCAGCGCCACCGCCTCCACCTCCCATCTTTACGCGCACTTCTGCGGTCTTGAACTCGTCTTGGACCTTGCCCTTTTTGATGTCGTCGAGGCCGTCGAGGAAGACGTTCATGGGTCGCTCTCCGATGAGCTTCATGAGCGTACCGAGGCCTGCTGCACCTGCATCACGCACGTCGGGGGAACCGTCTGCCATGGCATTGACGAGCGCTTCTGCGATGGGCTTGATGTCTGCTTTTGCGGGAGCGACGCGTGTGGTGCGGAGGCAGCGGACGAGGAAGCGGATGGACTCTGTCTTTACGGCGGGGTTCTTGTGCTTGATGCCGGTGAAGATGGGCTCGAGGACGTCGGAGAAGGCGACGGTCTGGAAGATGGCGTCGAGCGCCTTTGCGAGCACCTCGACAGTGGCGGGCTTCTTCTCCTTGAGCTTTTCGATGATGGGGGGCACGACCTTGTCCTTGTAGCGCGAAAAGTTGTCGCGGAGGCCCTTTGCCATGGCTTCGAGGCACTGGCACGAGACGAGGACGACGTTGATGTTGGCGTCCTTGTTGATCTTGAGAGCGAGGTGGTCTACGAGGTTGTCGAAGCGGCCGTCGGGCTGGATTTTGGGCGACGAGGTAAGGATCTTGAGGACGGTCTCGAGCGTCTCCTTGCGCTCCTGCCACTTTTTGGACACGATCATGTCTTCAAAGTCGGCGGGATAGTCGCGGCTGCCAAAGACGTTGACGGGCTCTGCAAGGTTGTAGGGATCGACGTCGTCGTCTTGGTCTGCTTCTGCGGCAGCGGAGTCGGCATGGGCATCGGGAGCAGCTGCGCCGTTAGCATCGGAATGTGCGGGCGGAGCGGCGGCGGCGGCCTGGAGCTTTTCGCGCTGGCTGAGGAGGAAGCGTGTCGGCGCGGGTTTGGAGGAGAGCTGAGCATCGATGTCGGCGAACTGCTGTCGGAGCTCCTTGGCCTGGATGTCCTTGAGCGTGTCGATTGTGGGTTCGAGGGCGGCGCCGATGTACTTGTGGAGCTCGAGAGCGAGGAGGGAGGCCTCTGCACGCACGTTTTTGTCCGAGTGGGCAAACATGTCTGGGAGGCGCTTGAGGATGGGCTTGGGGGCGACCTGCTTGTGGCCAAAGTCGCGGACGAGGTCCTTGATGGCGGTGATGCAGCCGGCGACGACTTTTGGCTGTTTTGCCTTGAGGCCCTCGAGGAGGTCTGCGAGGAGAGGCTCGCAGCCGACGAGGTCCTCCATCTCTGCGTAGAAGGAGATGAGGTCGAGCGCGTTCTTCTTTGTGCCTGCACGGGCGGATCCGAGACACTTTTCGACGAGTGCCGGCACGACGACCTCGCGCGTCTTTCCTGCGGGCTGGCCGCCAAACTCGACGAAGGCACGGACGGCATCGACGCCCTTTTCCTGTGCGACGGCGTTGGTGTCGACGACGATGGATTTCAAGATGTCCGGGTTGCGGGTATATTGGCGGAAGATGGGGTCGTTTTCGGACGACGTCTTTGGGAAAGCCTTTGTGAGGTCCTCGTAGGCCGAGACACGCGCCTTCCAGAGCTTGGAGGCGAGGCGCTCCTCTATCGACATTTTGGAAAAGTCGGCGTCTGCGGGGGCGGCGCCGCCCATCATGTCGGCGCTCATGGTAGTGAAGGTATGTGGCTACAGCGGTGAGCTGTACGTGGATGCGCTGGGTAGGCCGCAATGATTGGGCGGCAGGGTTCTTGAGGGGAAGTCGACAGACTAGAGCGCATGCACCCGCATCGAGAGAGGTTCGAACCTGGTGGTGATCCGGTGCGCTTTGTGTGGCCAGTGCTGGATCCTTGGGAGACAAAGGAGCGGATGGGTCCCGAAAGGCGAAGGGGACGCTGGTGGATAGGGTGTTGAATATGATGGAGCGGAGGTGGAGTGCGCGACGGAGATGAGCCGCGACTGCTCTGAGCGCGTGGGCGGTGGGCGGTGGGCGGTGGATGGAGCGAAATGCTTTGTCTGCTGACGATGCAAGAGAAGGCACTCTGCTGCTGCTGCTGCTGCGACGATGCGCGAAAAAAGTGTTGCTCTCTCGCCTTTGGCTGTGCTGGTGTGGTGCCGCTTTCTCCGGTTGGCTGGCTCAGCCGGGCTCAAAACACGGCCTCTGCGCCTCTGCGCCCTCCGACGCGTGTGAGTGAGGGCGGATTGGACTTGGCTGTGGGAGGCTGAGTGTTGTTGTCCGGCCGGCGCGCGCGCGAAACATTGCTGGTGTTAGCTGCTGATTCTAACACTTTGAATCCTTTCCGCACGCGGATTGAGTGCGTGTTGGAGTGTTGATTGGGCGCGCGCACACGCACACACGCGTTTCCAGAGGATGTGGCTGGCCTGAGCTTGTTTACGCCCAACTGCCTCGAGATTGGAGCCCAGCTGCTTTGCACTCGCTCGCTCACTTTGACTGACTTGCCGCCGCCTCTTTGCGGACGAAGAGACACACACTGGGCACTCATACCTCCCTGCCGCCAGTCGAGCTTCGTTGCAGCCCTTGTGGTGATTTTGAAAAGAGCTGCATGAGCAGCGATCGACTTCACTTCGCCTCATCCGACACAGAGCGGCATTCATCACTCATCGCCGTCGGGCCAGCCGAAGAGAAGAGGTCCGCGTGTGAGCAAGTGTTGGAGAATGCTGAGGTGGCAGCACCCCTCGTTTTTTTGGGCTCTGATTTTGGAGCGACTTTTTTTTTTGGAGCATCTGCAGAGCTTTCAACTCATTTCTGGCAGAGGTGCGTGCATTTCGACACGCGGTCTCCACCTGTCCTCGCTCCTCGCTGCTCTGGCCCCGCCAACCCTAACGACTTCCCCATCAGCAGCAGCGCCATCTCTGACAGCCACCACCACCCTCAAGAACTACGCCCCTCACCCCCTATCCTCACATCTGCGATCGAAAGGTGGCTGGAGCACAGTCTCCCCACCGCCGCCCACCATGAGCCAAGATGGCGCCGAGCTGCGCTTCGACTCACCCGAGCAAGAGATCAAGCACTGGAAGTCCAAGGTGGCCGACATGCAGGATGCGCTGCGCGAGACCGAATCCAGCCTGCAGGACTTTATGGAGAGCAGCAAGGAGCTCGAGCAGGAGATGGAAAAGGAGCTCTCCACCTCCACCAAGACCATCTCGGACCTGCGCCGCCGCAACGAACAGCTCACCGGCGACCTCGACGACTGGAAGGCAAAGTACTCGCGCGCGCTCCAGGAGCACAACGCCACGCTCACCAACCTACAAAAGGAGCTCGCCCAGCTGCGCGACGCCGTCGACGTATACAAGGCCAAGCTGCGCGACACCGAACTCACCAACGACGAGCTCGAGAATGCAGAGCGCATGATCGCCTCCTCGCTCGCCGACATGGAGGGCAAGTACAACAAGACCATCGAAAAGACCGCGCTGCTCGAGGAGGAGCTTATCGAAAAGACAAGGCTCGAGGAGGAGAACCAAAGGCTCAAGGACGAGCTGCGCGAGATGACCGAAGAGATGACCGTCCTCCGCGACCTCGTCACCCGATCCAGGGCCGTCTCGCGCGCGGACACGGCCGCCAGCTCCACCTACGACGAGCCACCCGCACCACGATCCGACCAGAGCTTCGACAGTTCTCCGCGTAAGCACGCCGCCTCGGCCTCCGCCGAGCGCCCCTCGAGTCGCCAGGCGCTCTCGTCGCCCAGCCTCAACCGCGTGCCCATCTCGCGCCGCCTCGGCGCCATGGGCCACTCGCGCCGCCTCAGCCGCGACGTACGCGGCTCCGAACCACCCACGCTCGCCT